AAAAAAAAAAAAGGAAGTAGTCCTCTTTTATTTTTTATTTTATTTTATCTGTTGGTTACGGCTGGGAGGAAAGTATTGTTGGGTTGGTTCCCTACCTGCGTTTTCCCTCCCCACCTACCCTTTGCATGCATTTCCAAGTTGGTACAGTGCCACGTCAGCAGTGCCACATCAGCAACAGTGCCACGTCAGCAACAGTGCCACGTCAGCAGTGCCACATCAGAAGTGCCACGTCGGTCACAGTGCCACGTCAGCAGTGCCACGACAGCAGTGCCACGTCAACAACAGTGCCACGTCACCAGTGCGACGACAGCAGTGCCACGTAAGCAACAGTGCCATGTCACAGTGCCATGTCACAGTGCCATGTCACAGTGCCACGTCATAGTGCCACGTCACAGTGCCACGTCAGCAGTGTCCCGCCACCATGACGGGCGCAGCTCTGGGCATGCCAGGCCAACTGGCCAACGAGTCTCTTGCCGACTACAAACAGCAGTTCCAGGCTCAGCTCGCTCTAATCGAGGCTGAGGAACAGCGCCAGCTGGCAGCCGAGGCGTCCCGCCTACAGGCTGAAGCAGCGGCAACAGCTGAGAAGCAGCGGCTACAGGCCGAAGCAGACGCAGATACCCAGGCACGTCGCAAGGAGGCCCAGGATCTGCTGCAGCGGCATGAAGCTGCCAGCATCGAAAGACTCAAGTTCTGGCACTTTGAACCGTCCAACGGCGACGACGCGACACCGGAAGAGCAGCATAAGGAGTTCCTCTCCAAACTCGTGACACGGTTGTTGTACGCTTGCAACTACCAACAGTCCGAGTTAGAGAGACAGAACCAGGAACTGCAACAACAGTACCAGGATCTGAAGACACAGCACCAAGAGTTGGCGAACCTCCCCCGGATGGTGCAGAGCCACGAGGATGCTACACGGGCACTCAATCCCCGTGTACTGGACCTGGAGCAAGCTGTACCAGAACCAGATGCTGGTGAGTCCAGCAGTGCACCCTCTAACCGCCAACTAGAGCAACGTGTTGACCACGTCGTCGCAATGCTCGGCGGCATCAGCACCTTCGCTGCGCCGACCACCATCAGCAATCAGCTGGATACTTTGAAGACCGAGGTCCAGCAACTGCAGCCGACGAACACGGATGGCAACAATCCAAAGCAATACAAGATGCCAACTTTTCAACTGGAGAAGTTCGACGACTACATGCATCAGGACCCGGTGCTCTGGTGGGAAGCTTTCACGACGCAACTTCGGATTCTGCCTGTCGCAAAGCACGCGTACATCGGCGCCCTGTTCTTGAACTCAAAGGGCGGATGCCAGATCTGGTTAACTCACCTGGCAGCCACCCACGGCGTCGACGTCGCAGATCTGAAGGACAAGATCTCATGGGAAGAGTTAACACGGCTGTGGAAGAAGCGGTTCATCGCCGACGACGCACCAGCACTTGCCATCAACCGTCTCTTCACCATGACTCAAGGCAACACAGCAACACGTGA